TATATATATATATATATATATATATATATATATATATAAGTAAAATAACTCTCATATCTTATAAAGCTCTATATATATATATAAAAGAAAACTATGGATTGAATGCATGCCTCGACGTGATATATATATAGTACATTAACTTTCCGTTCAATTTGTTTAGTTTGTATGATTCTTTAGAGATATGATGAGTTTTATGCTACAATGGACTGGATGGAATTAATTGGTGTTGAGGGTATCGTGACAATGCTAATTCGTAGCTTTTTCCCAAAGGTAATTACAACACCCATCATAATTTTTTTCTGAAAAAGGAACAAGTGATATTGCAAGAATGTTTATTCCATAACTTTTCTTGTGTATAGATTTTTTTAGTGGTATGAAACGTTGTGCATTTGGTTGAAATCACCGCGAGTTGTGTCACATGAAGTAGTAATGTGGTACAATGAATGGAAGTCTCGCTTTCCCGTAGCAATTTCTTCATTGTTTATCATACAAGGTATTAATCCGGCTCTTACGCAGTTTTATATGTTCTAATTGTGCCTTTTTTTCAGAACAGTTTAGACGTGCCTTAATCGCAATGAAGCACGCACAACTGGGCGTAATACCTACACACGAAACTCAGCCGTCTTCTTATTCATTGTTAGGTTCATATTCGGGGTCTTACAGTATTACAGTGCCGAGGTTGCAGGCACCGCCTCCACCACAGCTTTCGTTTAAGGTCCTCTTTTTTTAATTTTTTATCGAAGATTTACGGATCGTTTTTCATGACTGCTTTTTAAGCTTTCCATAGAGATATCTTGCTTCTTTATATGATGAATGATAGTGCATCTTCTCGAGAATTGCTATCCTTTTAAATTCTCCTACTGTTTCAGTTGTTGTCATCAAGCAAACATTACTGATCAAAATGTTTTCCGTCTATGTAATAACTATTATTTTTATTTAAATCATTTGCAGGATCTAGTGGAATTAAGGGCTCGTGAAGCTGGTATCTTATATGTGCCTCAAGTAAACAAATTCCGAGCAGGTAAGCCTGTATATTGGTTTGGTAAAGTATCAATTTATATTGACCGCAATGTTATATTTGGCTTCAATGTCGAAACACAGCAATGGTCACCAATTGGGCTAGATCACTTATTAAGCATATGCTAACTGGACCGTTTGTGATTACGCGTTTTCTGAGTTCTGCTTAAACTCCATGAAGAACAAGCTAGCGTACAGATAGCGCGCTGTTAATGTCATGTGTGAAACATTTTGTAGTTTATTCATAAGGGCTCAATCAGTACGGAGATATACGTAAATGCAGGAGAACATTCAGTTTCAATTTAGATATGTATCTGTTAATTCTACCATTAATCTGATCTCAATAAAAAGTATTTATTTTCGGAAATCACGTGTTTAATGCTCATTAGTTTAAGAGTGTTATACTACTCTGTGTCTTTAATGAACTTTCTGTTCCCATCGACGAGTCATCCTCGTTTTAACAGCGATGATATGATGGCTATTATAAAAATAAACAAGTAGGTCAATAAAATTCTTACTATTGCGATTACGACATATTGTAGTAGTCTATTCTAGGTCATTCTATGAGATATGAGAGGTTAGGTTTGTTGCTGATGAGGGTTTTGAGTTAACGCTCTCGGGCATAAACATGGATTGTGGTTATATTAGAGAAGTATAAGTTTGGAATTGTGAATTTTCATTTTGTGAAATAATACAGTAGGTCTGGGCAGATATTGTCTTGTTGTTGTTAAAATTCAGTAGATCTGTGCAGATATTGTCTTAAAGTTGTCCCACGTGACACTGATTATTCATTCCCTGTAAAAATAATTGGTTTGCATTTGAAGCGCACAACGAACATATAGAGAATGTAATGCTGTAAATGCAACATTTTACGCAATAAAAGTGTATAAGTAAAAATTACAATACGAAAAAAATGGGTTAGAAATTGTAAGATTTAAATGGGACATTTGAACTTGGTGTTGTAACGGCATAACGAAATAATAGACTGGCCGGGTACTATGCCTTGCACTTAATCTAACTTCTGATTTTCGGCAAACACTTAGAACTTAATTACTTATCATCTCTGGTTTGCTATTTTCACTTTCATTATTCTTTCGCGTGGGTATATTGAAACTCTGGATTTGTTCTTAATGATATGTGAAAATTTTCGGCACTAGGCTGTGCACACTAATGAATTTGTTTTGGAGGCAGAAGATATACATGGTGCGTTTTTTAGAAACAAGTACTTTAATCCAATGCTGTTATTTTCTTATTCACTTCTGATATTTACTGCATAGTATAAGAGAAAAGCACTGTCGTGATGAGTACTTCTTACAACGGAAATCACTGTTGTTTGTTACACGTACAATGAAACATCCACTTTGTAATCAAAGTTTGATATTTAAAAACTAGCTCGAAAGGGATATAAGTCGAGTACTTGTCTCATATAAATTGTTAGTAAATTGCAAAAAACTGCACAATTGAAGTAATGAACGTTGGACTCAGGAAATTATGAAGCACTGACATTATCCATGCACGATTAACTGGTCGTGTCAATTTAATCTTGCTCATCAGCAAACAATCCATAATTTAGATGCTAAAAAAAGAATTAGTAAAAACAAGTAGAAGTTAAAATATAAAGAGCGGGATAATTTGAGACATTGAATGTTGATATTCAGTTCAAAGTGCTTAATATGGTGAACGAGACGGTACTTGGAAAAAACACGAATCAGCTCAAAAAATATAGACTACCATGTTCAGAGTTGAACATCGATGAAGCAGTGCAACCCTACATCTTATAATCCATGACACTTAGCTAAGAGTAACCGAAAGAAATTAAATTAAGATGACATCTTCGATATTTTTAAAGATAAGAATTCTACTTCTAAATTCTGGATTGTTTGCTGAATGTGCAATGAGATATGACAGCAATCGTAGTACTCTGAACAACATTACTGTGATCACTACCTATGCAGTACTGTGAAAGAAAATAACTGAAGTAAAACTAAATTAACTGATTCATCTCTTTGATTACAGCGCAAGATATATGGCTTCATAAAGGAAAGCAAGAAAAGAAAAAGTCATACACTGATTTATTAGCTTAAACATGTGTTAGGGAATTCAAGTAGAAAAGAGTATGATCAAATCAGCGAGTACGCAACAAAATATCATTACCATTTAAATTCATAAAAAAATAGCCGTTACTTATTGTTTGTTAAAGAAACCATGATATCAACTACAGGTATGTTTAAAAAAAGCAGCAAGCAACGCTCATACAACAATAAAAACAAGACAAATGGATATAGATGCTTCTACTACAGCGACAACTTTATATGTTACCGCTCTTCTGCCCATTCCTCCAGCTCAATTTCGTCCTCTGGTACCAGTAAGTCATTGTGTATATGACCTGAAATCTCATGTGTCATTACATTATCTCATTCTCAGTTGCACTAAAACCATCTTCATTTCATCAACTATAACACTGACTATATTTGTTCACTTTCCTTTTTTTACGAGTAATATCTAAGTTATGTATGTATCAATGAGCGTTCCTCTACCTTTGTCATTAGCGCTTAATTTTACCAAAGAACACTAAAGTCAGACAGTACACATAGAAGATAAGTAAAAGAAACTAGTTTGATCAGTAACTTATACTGCAAAGTGAATATGCTTGTTATTCTATGATACACATAATTTTTAGTTCATTTTGTTAAGTATACAAATGAATTACTATCTGCTGGGACAGACTGTTGCGAGGTGATTATTGATGAAAATATATCCGCGTTCTCGCCAATCTCAACATTCATACATATTATGGAATTCGTTATTTGTGCCCTAAACAATTGCCCTTCAATAATCAATCTTTTATACATACGCTGATACGCTGCAATACACTTTCTTAAACATATAAACTTTGAATGGGACACCAATCCTTTGATGTGCTCTTTATACAAAACAAAAAACCTATTATAAAATGGTTGATAACCCATTCCTTTCCTTATGAAAGAATTTTGAATTGTTTTTCAATTGATAACTTGCCAAGAATACTAAACTGACATATCTAAATGGTTCCAAGAACTTAACAAGAAAAATTACGAAATTTCAGACTGATAGATGTACGATGAAAAATGAAAACGCAATTTTTTAACCGTTATCACACTTTCCCATATGTGATAGAAACACACTAACTGAATTTGAATACCAGATAAGAGTCATAGCATGAAAAAAAAAATTTAATATAACACCTAAGAAAAAATAGAAAAGATTATACTAATAATAAACATTACCGAGCACCGATGTGGCATCCATTCATTAATACAGAGCCAGTGATCTTGCATTTCGGTCCAATAACACATTTATCACCAACCACGGAACGTTTGATAATTGGCTTTTCGCTACGAGCACTAGGTGTGTCAGCCTCAATTTGCGGATAGAAACGAACAGAAGAACTTATATAAGATTCAGATCCAGATGCGACGACGCCTGCGTTATCAATGCTTTGCCCAACGAAAAACTTCTCGGAAAAATTTGGTGACAAAAAACGAACAATCTAGTAACAAATAGTATGTTCAATTAGTCATAGAAAAGTAGAAGGATGTTCAAAAAATTTTCAGTTACCAATTTTTACAACCACCTCACAAATCCCTTCTCAAAAAATGGTTTTCACAAATTACAACACTTCATTAGGTGACTCAAAGAAAAATCAAAACTTGTAGACATTAAAAACATACAGTCTTATTTATTTCGAAATATGCTTCAATGTTGTTTATATGACCAACAATAAAACCATTCTCCGGTGGAATTAAATACGCACAGCACTTTAATAAAGGAGAAAGGCAATTCACAGTACTGGAACCAAAGCTAAACTTCTGTACTTTTTCATCCAGAGGATCAGTTATGTGATGATCAATAACTTCTAAAAATTCTACAATGTAGTTCCTAAAAATGACTTAACAAGCAAAAATTGGTCAAAATACAAAAACCAGTATTAAAGTGTCTAAAAAAATATATACCGTGAATATCTTTCATATTCCGCTTTTCTAATATATATGGTATGAAGTCAGCTTTCAACGATGAAAATTTTCTGAAATTATAACTTTAATATTAAGATATCATGAATGGCACATTGTTTTAATACATTTTAACATCCCCAAAAAACAGATAAACAATTCATGGCGATTTGGAGGAGGCGAAGGAACAATGGATGGTATATTGATAACAAGAACGAAAAAAGTCATAACCGTATTTCTATCTTCCTCCGAATTAGACGACTGAGTGAGAGAAAAAATACCTATTTTTCTTAATGATGTCTAGAGTCCATTTCTTCATTATATAAATATGACAATCATTATATCGAGCTGTGAAATAAGCAGACTCACATCTGAAATTCAATAATTAAAATATGATTCGTCTGAGGTACTTAGACATAAGAATTAGCAGATGAGAATTACGTGCTGAAAAAATCAATATTCACTGGAACTGTTTCGTCATAGTCTTCTTCTGAACCAATAAACAATAATCGATTGTCATCTGATAACACAACGAAATCGCGTCCTAGGAATAAAAGAAAAATACATGCTTATGAATTTTAGACACCTAAGTGAAAGAAAAAATGCCTTTTTTTCTCAATGATGTCTAGAATCAATTTCTTTATTATATATGGTAATCATTATATCGGTCATTATTATCATAAGCATGAATTTTTCTGCTTTCAAAAAAAGTTATAAACATGAATTTTTCTAAACCCATATACTCACGTCGCAAAATGTCTGATGTCAATCCAGAATAAAAGTTTATTTCTGAACCATAATTTTATTTGGACACCTTATGACTTTCAAAAATATCACAATGCCAATTCCTTGTGTAAAACTAGACAGTCATGTAGCTTTTCCACTACTGATATGATTTTCAAAGCAACGTGTTTTGAACTGTAAATGAAACTAAAGCCAATGCAGAAAATTAATTATCCCGGAGATTCTGCTCTGAAACAAAATAAACCTTTAGAATGCTTGATTTTCGGTCCAACAACTGGTCCTGTGATCACACGATCGCACAGTAAGCACGTTAGGCAAGAATTTTCAGCAATATGTAACGATAACATAGGAGCGAAATTCATATCAGAGACAAAATCGCCACTAACTACCACAAAATCATTCTGCAATGAGTATGCAAAATAAATAGACAAACAATAACGGTAATGAGATGATTTTTTCGTTGTTCAACTCATATAATAATTTACCGTGTTAACTATTCGCACTTCGAGATTAAATCGCCGATGACAACAAAGGTTCTGTTCAATATATGATAGTGCATTTCAGCAAATAATTGAAAGTCTATAGACTGACCTTGATGCGAGGTCTTAAGAACCTCAACACATCTGCAGTACCCCAATTTTGAGCGGCACTACTCAGTTTCACAAACTCGACTTGCAATTCTCTTAATGACGGCAACTTAGATCCAGACAAAAGTTGCTTAATCTCACTTATAAGTTTTTCAGGAACTACCATGATGACTTCTGCAAAATATTTTTACCACAAAAATTTTATCCTTAATTCATTTATGCTTTTCAGAGAGAAAAGCATATGAAAGGTTAGAGTACAAAAACACACAGAACCTTCTTACACTAGAAGCATGAAGAAATGGATATAATTTATGACTGCTAATGTTAAACCATTTTAGTACAGATCAAAAATAATAATATAATCCCCAAAACCTCTTTTAATGTCATTGAATATACTCATTATTTCAATCATTCTAAACTTTATACATACAATCCTTTGTTAAAGCCATTTCGTAGTAACAATGACTTCCAATAAACTAGTTGTGCGGTGATGGTTTTTTCGTTACTGTAATAATCAACTCACGGTGAACCCTGCCTTCCGTTTAAAATATTCACTCCCATTTATTTCGAACCATAGGGAACTGTAAGGGAAAACAACAACTATAAATTCATGATTTCTAATTATCCATTAGCTCCCTAATTCCTTACACAATCATAATAAAGTAACAGAAAACCCAGATCTAACCTCTAATATTATTCCTTTCCAAGAAGTTAAGAGGATACCAAAACATTGGTACACCAGCAATTGGAAGCATACACTTCGGGATGCGATTTGTTAAACTCGTCATCCGATTTCCCGCTCCACCGCAGAGAACGATAGCTTGTAATCCTTGCACCGACATCACAAACTTGCAATAATTCTAAAGTGCGTTGACTTCACCATCTATGAGATCTGAATATCCCCACAAATATAGAAAGCATTTGTCCAATCAATATGTCTCACTAGCACATACTACTATTGCTAAGAATGATCCATCAAACTCAAGCATTTTGTTTATTAAGATATTGAAATCGATTCACTGTAGCATAGCAAAAGAGTTCATGAATTTGGCATGACACGAGATTGAACTTGTAAATGCTTAACGATGGAAAGGAAATCAATCCAACTCATAAGATGTAGAATTCAAATCTCGTCATGTAAATTTTAGCTAATTCATCTATCAATTAATCGCTACAAAGAACATTGAAATACATTGTATTAACGGGAGTGTGATGATAAAGCACGGAAAGACAGGCTTAGTTTCTCTCAATCAATATTTCTTCAACCATATCATATACTTCATCTTTAACTGATCTCTTCGAAAGAGAAGCGAACTAGAACAAAGTTCGGAAGAAATTTGTTACCAACTTAAGTTCGGTAAGAATTAAAACACTCAATATGCTCCGTCCATGAAATACGAGAATTACAATTCTGGAATAAGAAAACAACTTGAATTATAGAAGTCGTAAATGACAAACAAAAACAGTTAGAGAAGAAAAGGAATTATCGATTTTCGATGTATTGGATAGTCAGGAAATTCCCGTAAATAATTACGATGTTTCCCTTTTGCCCATATAGCCATTTGAAAAAACCCAGCTGTAGCAAAAATCAACGCTGAAATTCAGATAAGATTAAACAATGAATCTTAGTAATAAAACCTAGAATAACGAAAGAAAGTACTACAAATTTAAAGGATCCTTTCCTTAAAGCGAACTGCTACCAGAGAATAACAATAAATACCACGCTTTCCTAGAAATTCTACAGAGTCAATAATACTTCTTTGTTGGTCTCTGCATATGTAAGTTAAAATAAGTCACAAACCTGGCAATGACTGACACATACACGAGAAAAATAGCCAAGAACCAAATTCATAAGTATAGTTGGGACAGCTCACAAAATTAAACATAAACGTCAGAGGATTAGCATCTGGCAACGGGATCTTACGGATTTTGGTTCCCGGAGGACGCAAATTACGCAGAAGAAGATGAACGGATAAATTGCCTGTAATACAGTAAATACAATTGAAATGGAACAAAATGGTGAAAGCAAATTAAAGTTACAAATGAACAAACGTACCAGCCTCACAGAGTACAAAACCAATGAAGCCAAACAAAATTTGTGAAAAGCCAAAAGCTGGTGGTGTGTATAGCGGATGATTAATATAATAACTAACATACGCTGTGAATGCCCAGTAGTAACTGCAGTTCTGAAAATTTTTGACTATAAAACTTGATGTTATATTATGAATTCTGTACTACATAGATACAACAAGATCACTTTTTTAAATAAACGATCTCAAAATTTCATACTGAAAACAACAAAAAAAAACCTTCCGGAAACTTCCCTTTGAATTTCCGTAAATCTTTTTTGTTAGGAAAGCTTTAACATAAAGAAATATTTTTGATGCACATGAACTACGAATTTCAGAAATATGCAGTCTGTTGAAGCTGATTAGAAAGATTGTTTATATAGGTATGAATTACTTCCATATTTTATTTCAGTTACCTTAAATATATTTTGCAAAGGCATTGTGGCGTTACTAAATCGATGAACGAACTGAGTTTCGATCAGGCGTTTTATATAATGAATTGTCCAACAAACTAATGCAGCACTTACTGCATCAGGTATTGGTGTTCGAGATCCAGCTAAAATTTTACAAATATGTTTTCTGACTGTTTGGGATCCAGCTAAAACTTTACAACAATGCTTCTAAATGTTTTATTCGCTTCTAATGATAAACACCAACCATTTTCATAAATGAAGAATGGCCTGAAGTAGAAAATAGGATAAATAAGAAGCGGTCCCAAATATTCAAAAATAAACACCTGAAAAACTAAAAACTGGATTGCAATAGGCGACTCAGAAGATATTCAAAAAAAAATACCATACGACGAAATAGAATAGCTTATAAATTAAACAAACAAAGTTAGCACGTGCTTTGACTTACAGTTTTCCATCCAATTTGTAAGCCTAGATCGCGAATATATAACTGAACACATGCTGAGGGCAAATTAAGATCCCGAATAATCAAATCATCCTTCAGATTCTTTCCCTTAGCATCCAGACGCAAAGCTATTCGATTAACCGGAAGCGAAAGCCCTAAATACCGCACTGTATTACAATACCACACAATACTGTACTAGTAATTAGTAGTAATGAAAAACAATAAGAACGATCATAAAACTTTCTTTGAGATAAGCGTTTTTTAATTGCCATAATTGAATCTTCATGAGTAACCTGAAAATGAAATTAATTATTTATATCATTTTATTCCAGAATATGCAATATTTTACAGAGTCAATACTATGGAATAATTACAAAGTGAAAACATACATTTTCCAGAGTAGCAACTAATCGCGTGTTCGTTTTGGCATCGAAAACTTCAAGAGTTATACAAGCCATAGCTGCAATATAACACAAAAATGAATTAGGAATAAGTAAGCAAAAAATTACCGCGGTGTGAACAACAAACAGATTAAAGTCAGGAGTGGTGCTGATGAGTTGTATTCAAACTATGAGAACACCACAAACTGGCTATTCAATAGTAAAGCTCCCGATAAAAAGAGATAAAACTCCCAACTGAACCTACAAAACTTTGACCATCTCCGTTTCCCAAGACGTTTTTAACTACACAAGTTTATAATCAAAACGGAGTCCGTCTGCAATTGTCATATTTCGGCTATTTCTGATTCGGCCCAACTTAAAAATAATTGTCTGGTATTTCATGGCTTCGGTTTTAGTAGATAATTTCTGGCACGCGTTTATCAATATGTCAAAAGCTGGTTTGAATATGTTATATATGCAGTAAAAGTAGGGAATTTTGTTAAGATGATTTGTTGAATGTTTGGGAATGGTGATTACGTATTTTTGTAAATTGTTTAATTTGGTCGAGTAAGTATTAGATAATACTTAATCATTTTGCAGAAATGCAGTCTTTTTTTGTTTGGACTAGAAAAGGAAAAATTCATTAATGATATTTAGGATTAGTTATTTTAATTTTATTCATTCAGAAGAACTGTATTGATCTTTTAAAAATGCGACTTTTGTGTAATTTTGTTCTTTTACTCATTTAATGGCTTAATTTTTGGATATTGCCTGTGATCAGCGTTAAGTGAGGCATGATGGCGAGTGATGGTATAGGATCTAAAGCTTATCCGATTGCTGATACAGCATTGGCTCAGAAATTACTTGATCTCGTTCAGCAGGCTCAAAATTATAAGCAGCTGAAGAAAGGTGCTAATGAAGCAACTAAAACTTTAAATCGAGGACTTGCTGAGGTTGGTAGCTCAGTTTTTAGTAATAATCTTTAGTTATTATAAAGTTGAATGAGGAATATATATTTTGTATAGAGACATATACAGAGGAATTGTAGTATTCATCATAACAATAGAAAGTATAGAATTAAGGGGGAAAGTAATCTACAATATCTATATATTTGAAGAAGTAGTTACACAAAAGTTTTGTGTTTTACTTTTGCATTTTTACGATTTGACTTGTTCTTTCTCATAAATCTGATCGCGTATCTTTGTTACTATTTCAGATAATTATAATGGCAGCTGATGCTGAGCCTCTTGAAATTATTTTGCATCTTCCACTTCTTTGCGAAGACAAAAATGTCCCTTACGTATTTGTACGCAGCAAGGTAATATTTTCTGAATGAATGAAATAAAATAATTACGAATTACGTTGCTGAAGCGACTAATTTCATTCTTGTTCTACTCATTGAAGTGTCAGTGTAATTTAAGGCTGCCCTTGGACGAGCATGTGGTGTCTCACGGCCTGTAATTGCTGCATCTATAATTCAGAATGAAGGGTCGCAGTTAAGAAGTCAAATACAGAAGATTAAAGAAGAAGTCGAGAAACTTTTGATTTAAATGTAGTCGCCATTTGGTCATAAATATGTTGTTGTATTGTTTGATTCTAATACTCATAAAGCATCTAAGAAATATTACTACAAACTGTAAAATGTTGCTCTCAGGCATCTCGTTTTCCTTGAGTTGGGTAGAGGGTTGTTATTTATTTCGTTTCAACTTTTTTGGTCTTCAGACTTTATCAGGCAATCAATTTATTGGTTTTATTATTTTACTATTGACGTGCTACTCACAAATCACTTATTTTTCTGTACTTCAGCGCATTGTTCTTGATGCAGCTCAAGTTATATGACATTAATTACTGCATTTTAGATATGGAATTGTAGAAAGTTGTGGCTGATTCTCAGGTTCTATGCAATTTGTCAATTTTGTCATTTTTTGAATGTGTGACAGACTTTTTTCCAGTTTTGGTATGTTCTATTTTATAACTTCATAAATTGTTGCTTGGAAATAAATGTTGTGAAGTCTAATGCCATTTTTGCCTTGTAACAGATTTCTTATATCTGAGTATTGAGTCTGAAGAATACCAAAGTAACTGTGTCTCAAAAGTGTCCTTGTGGGTTATACCGTGTAGGTTCTAGGTTTCCATGCAAACATGGAGTTCAGTATAATTCGGTTTTAAATTAGGGTACATGACAATAATTAGGGTGGTGCTAATGATAAGGAAGTAATTTTCATCGACTAATATTTCTGCTGTTCGGATATGCAAGTCAGCCAAATTTGGAGCGCACCGTTGAGTATGGTCCTGTAAAAGCTTCGTTCACCTCTGCGGGTATAGCATCAGAGTTGTGGATGTACCGTTCCTTCTACTGCATATTTGTAATTTACTGGTGATTGAAGGAATTAGTTTCGAATAAGGTTGCAATGTTTTCATGTCAAGACTATCAAAACGTGGCCACTTTTCTTCAAATAGATTGTAAGCATCAAGTAGGTAACAGATCTCTAATTTATTTATTAGCCTCTTTATTACCATAAAGAGTAAAATTTTTTCATCTCAAACATTCCATGATATTTACTGCTTCCGTGGCATCTGCAAGGGATGCAAGTACGTAATGTCCAATTTGTATGTCCCGAATGCAACCGGTGAAACCTGTCAAGTGTGGTGATTTCATTCTGTGCAAACCACCTAAAATTCGGTTGCACGTTTAAGCGAACAGTATATGGAAAGAACATGTGAAACATTTTTTATTGATTGAAGTGAGTAGAGTTTGAAAGTCGTTTTTTAATCTAATTTGGTAATAAAGGTATAGCTGTGTACAACTAGAATAATTTGGACTGGTTGTAATTGTTTGTGTTTCACTGCTTAACTCTGCATAAATTTAAATTTTTCAGATCTTTTCCGCATTTATGTGATAACGTAAGTAGTATGAGTGAAAAATTATTCGAGATTTAAAATACATACCAATATAAAGTGCATCATATACATTAAGTTCAGTGGATGGGCCTACACTTTCTGAGCTTATGGATACTTCGTCAACAGATAGAGTGATACGTCGTCCATGTCTTAAAATTAGAGTTTTTCTTTCCTACAAAATTCTTATCCTTCAAGTCATCAATTTGTGCCCGATACGAAGTAATTAAATAATAAACTTGTAGAGGACTTGTCAAAAAATTGAGTATTACCGTAATAGGGTAATACTGCGCCATATACCATCTGCTTTTAGAATTGTTGGATGTGTCAGAGCGATAGGACCGGATCCAAGGTCAACCGTTAGTTTTAGTTCATTTCTGCTAGACAACATTAGACTCATGTAATCGCCTACTGATACATGTTCACCCGTATAAATAAGAATCTAAATATCGTAACCATGAGCTACTTTTAACGATAAGTTGTACGTACTGAAGTGTAATCTAGTATCTGTAACAGTGGTGTTCCCAAATTTAATATAGCTTAATGATAAGAAAAACTGCTATTCAGATTATTCATTACACATATTTCAATTTTTCAAAATGACTAGTTATACTGTATAATTCTTAGCCATTTGGTTTCTGTGGTTTAGCTTTTTTCCAAACCATTTGGTTTCTGTGGTTCAGCTAAGAATCTATGAAATATGAAGTCAAACTTGGTCTTCTGAATGTGGACTGTGGTAATGCGTTGAGTTTCGTATTAGAATCATGAACTTCAAGTTTAAACTTTCATCGGTCAGACTAAATAAACTGTCGTTTTAACCTTCAAGGACAAGTATGAATTTGAACAAAGATTTGGTAATTGATTATTTTACGAGATTTGATGTTACAGCAAAACAATTTCTGCCAAGAATATACGACAAAGACTTACTATTTCATGATGTTATGATTGAATAATTTCAAATATGAAAACTTTTCAAATCGGAATTGTGTTACTGGGACAGTATAGTCTGAAAATAAGCGAATCATTTTGGAAGTTCGTTTTCACCGTTAAAGTTAAGGATAGTAGAATGTGATATGTTACAAAAAATTTTTAGTCTCTGAAAATCTTGAGAACTACACTTACAATTTCTTGGAATAATTCAGATGATGATAGATAGCTCTAGGGAAATCGCTCACTTTTTTCACAAAGTGCTCCATAAGTCGGGAATTGACATTTGCAGTGAGGTGCAGCTCGATATGGAAAACACTCCGCCTGACGTTTACAGCTTGATTTAGTACAAACATCCCAACCGCATGGATTTACGTTTTGCGTGACCAACGTATCAAGCAACAAATCTATGGCTTGCCCATTTTGATAAATCTAAGATGTATTAATAAGTTGAGAAGATTTTTTGAAACAAAGTTTTCATGCAATAGTAAATAGTCAGTGAAACTTTGCATTTCCAATGAATAATTTAAAAGCTATCTATAAGGTGGTTAGAAATACGGCTGCAGTGAATTCACACTTCATAATGGCAATTATATTATTTTTAGAGAATTTTTCACGCACAACGTCAGTCTTCGTTAAACATTTAGAAGATGTGAAAGCTTCTAACAATTCTTCCTACTCCAATTTTTATAATTTCAATGACTTAACTTAAATTAAAACTTATTCATTTTAAACAATATTCTTGTTAACTTTGTATTTTAGAAAAATTACCATTTTTAAACAACCAGAAAAACCATTGCGAATTGGTAAATTCGATGGTATTTTATTATTTGGAGCACCACCAATGTATATGAAACCATTACTTTCTTTGTCATTTATCTCTAAATTTTTTTCAAACCGATTTTCCATATACTGCTGATCATCAATCTAAAAAAATTTTGTAGACATGCAAACAAAAACAAAAACAAAAACTAATTACTAAATTAATATGGAAAAGATTGTTTTTTATAGCTCAAAAAGTCGTGAATAATAAATTTCGAATGAAATCTAATCTTTAGTAAAGCGGCTTTTCCACTCTTCCATATTTCAACTCGATGCCATTTGTCTAGTGATAGTGGATGTTGAGAGCTGTAATCATATCTAAATTATTCAAAAACGTTCAAAATTTTTTACACATTTTTATGACACATTTGTTCAGTGCTTATCAAAAAATTTGACTAGTCTTTTCTGATAATTTATATAACAAGTTAATCTTCTCACTTTCATTAAGTAATACTCACCTCAAAGTTTGATAGCCATTTGTATATGCATTATAGATCAAAAGGTATGCATTTTGGAGGTAAACAGCAAAAAAATGGTGATTTGAGACCAAAAAATAGACCAAACCATTTGGTTTCTGTGGTTTAGCTAAGAATACCAACTCCAAATAAATGTTATAATCATTTGGAGCTCGAACTTTCACGAAAGATATCTCATCAAACTGAGCTACGTAATTCATCGGTGACACAATTTTTGATGTTGATGGCGTGATTGACTGAGTAGAAGTTGCATCTGCTTAAAGTAAAACTAAATCACAAATTTTTTTGAAACTTTATTTAAACTGATCTCTGCATACACAGTATGTATTTTTTAACTGTTATAATTGATCAAAAGAGCAATAATTTTGAATAAACTCTTTACTCTCCTTGCTTTAACTGAATAAACAGCCGTAATATTATAGCAGAAAGCAATTGTGTTTCAAAAAAGTTATCACACCTTTGCAAAAATTGTATCTTAGAAGAAAATTATGTATTTTTTCAAAATATAAGCAGTTTTCTGACAAAATAATACTAAATATTAGTTAGGCTAACACATCAATTACTTGCTATCCAAAGCGTTGTATTAATTAGTTGTTAGCAAGATGAAAAAGTCATTTCAAAACGAAAATGAATCGCGAAAAAAATTTTTTCTTACATAAAATGCTTAATTTCGTTTTATTAGCATTTACCGCTTAATTATTATAATAAATTATATACTTACGTCATTTCTGCAATATTATTACATTTAAATTTTATCAAAATTAATTTGAAAAAATTGAATGAATATTATAAGACTGATTGTGAAAATTTTTGAAGTCATTTGATGTTTGCATTTAGCAGAGGCAACTTTTTAATTCAATTCACTTCAGTAGCTGTTCTAGAATTAATGCTATTTAAGTTTCTATTTATCTATGATAACTTATATTTGTTTACATTTTTATCCGTTTTAAAATTACTGCATTCAATTTTATTAATGCTTTTAAATTGTTAACTACAATATTAATATTTTTGATTGAAAAGATCCTAAAGTAGATGTTTTTAGTATCATTCCATACCAATTGAGCAATCATGCACCTTTGTATCTGCCCATAAAAAATATTTCTAGCATTAAAAAGTATTTGAAAGAAATGAAAAAGAAATTCTATTCTGACATGGCTGATACTTTTTTTATCAGCATATTTTCAATCACAAATCAAATTGTGATCTAGGTTTAAAGTGTTTTCAAAGATTACTCTATCACTCATAACTACTTCTAGAGACCAAATTGATAAAACATTGAAAAATAAGTCACTAATAATATTTTTCACCCTATTATTATTAGTAAAACAATCGTATTTGCATTTTTTTGAGCTGATAATATACAATACTTCATGCTTATCTTTGAATTGATCAAACTCATAAACTAAGATAACCCTTCAAAATCATTATAGCAAACAAGAGGATTGAGCATATGCATATATAGAAGTAAATTCATCTTGATATATTAAAGAAAATTTTGAATACTGTAAGGATTAAGCTATTATTTTGATAGAAGATATCAAATAATGCTTTTCGTCACTTCATAAGAAACCAAGAAGTGAATTATTATTTACGTGTAAAAAATCTATTTATAACTTACGATAGGAATTCCATGCCGTTCTATTAAATTCATCGTCCCGCTTCATATTACCATCCTCACAAAACTCTAAATATTCAATTTTTAGCAGCTAAATCTTAGCAATTAATCAAATCCACTTCATTTTTGACACACATCTCCAATTCACTTTGAACTTTCAGCAGCAAAAAAAAAATTCTACTCAAACTACACAAAGTTCAAGAAAGAAACGTGCAAGTTTTTTAGTGTTTCAATTAAGTAACAAAAATGAACAATGAAAACATCTTTTCATTCATCAATTTTCGCATGTTTTCAATGTCTTATTCGTAATTAAAAGATCATGAAAAAACTGAAATTTAATCACCAAAATTGATGCATAAAATTAATTGTAACATTCTTATTGAGGTTTCGTTCACTTATTCATGATTATAATATGATAATATGATAATAATAATACTAATAATAATAATAATAATAAAGCATATAAAAAATATAACTAACGTAAAGGTTCCATGGCTTGATTAATTCTTAAATTTGTATCAAATAAAATGATGTTGTTCACGGCTACATGTTTTATACATCCTTGAAATCCATTAACTGTTGAAGTTTGAATGCTTAAATTGCGTACATTTTTGGGTGCTCCACCAACACAAATTCCTGTTTCCATCGTTATACCTTTAAAGTTCTGAAAAGTATTCCTGCGATGAAATTGAAAATCATTTCAGCAATCTAAAAAGAAGCTTTTTAATATGCATTCTTTATGTGCTAATAGCACGAATAACGGATCTAAATTAATTCATTAAACTGCCAATCTATTCCTAAACCAATAATTTTCTTGAATGAAAATTTTGTTATCAAAAAAATCCTTCTGCTCACATTAGAATATTTATATTATTTTCTACATACATCAATACTAATCTTAATTTGCAATTTCTTCATTATAAGAGAAAACTTGTCATTATAGTGTTTTGCCAGTGTATACGTACTATGAAAAAACACGTTAACAACTATATATCTATCTATCTATCTATCTATATATATATATATATATATATATATA